GAAAACTGTCAAACTTTACCAGGGTACATAAAGGCCTTATTTCAGGAACAGCTGTACTAGCACTCCAAACTGTTAATTTCTGCCCTCAGTCCACTAAGAGTCCAGTTTTCTTAGCTCTGTAATCAGTATTCCCTTTTTCCAGGCCTAGTGTCACTGAAGTCAAGGCTAAGAAGTAAGTTAGGATTTGCCGTGCATGAAGACTGGCACTCTGTTGGAGGTAGGCTGCAACAGGTTAAGGAGTTTCTGTCTCCAGCTGTCACTGCTCTTGGGTCACAAGTAACTGAATCAACACAACTGAACAGTTTAGCCTGTTAGAGCAACACAACTAAACAGTTTAGATAATGCTTTAACTCTCACCCTCAAATAAACTACCCCCTCTAAAGTATAGCCGTGTTAAACATGAACTACACAAAATAAAAAACAATTAACTCTATGCTAACCATTGTGATAGAACCCTAAATCAATGAAGTAGCTCTGCCTAGATCTTCCCTTTAATGAGCTCCCTGAAGAAAAAGGCAAGATTATACTAGAATAACATCCAGAATACCTAATTTTAAATAGAGAAAATTCATATTGATTATGTCAGAGCAAAATGTAAAAAAGATGTTTTTTAGACAACTTTCCTCATGCCCAATGTGTCATTAACTCTGGAAACTATCCCCCAGGCTTGGGTTTAGGTAATTGAATGACTTCCTGGGTTGCAGTAAACTTTACCCAGTGCGTGACAGACCCTAGGAAGGTTCTCTTCTATCACCTTTAGAGCCTGGCTCTCTGCTCTTTCAGCCGTCTTCACTCTCTGCTTGTCTCCAGGCTGCCATCCACATACTGGGACCCTAAATTCTGCCTCCAATACCCTCTTGCCCCCTAGACAAGACTCTGCTCTTCAGGAAAAGACTAATTTTTCCTCCTTTTAGGAGAGTCCTAGCACTCAACTCACATTATTTAAAGAAATATTGCATAAAATCAAGAACAAACAAACCAGGCATACTTTTTACATTTCCAAGGCAAAGATGTAGAAGCGACTTGCCTATTATAACTGGAATGCTGATGTCAAAAAAAAAAAAAAAAACCAACCACCAAAAAACCAAATAAAACCCAAGCAAATGGTTTCATGCAAATAGCACAGTGAGCAGCACGTCACAGGCTAAAGTTTAAATTTATCATGTAGGCCTGAGAGATTGCACATTTGGTTTGTTTTCATGTTAGATTCAGAAGAGCAGCACTGAACTTAAACTGCTCTTATATTTCACTTGAACAGCTGAAGGTAGAAATAAAAACTAACCTAACTTTTCATAATGGGTGCTATAAACAAGGCTATAAAAGTCAGAAAAGAGTTACTCTGGAATTGAAATATTAATAATAGGAAATATTAATCTCAAAGAAAAGAATTCCGTTTCTGTGCCTGAGTCTCCTGCATGACATAACTCTGAGAAAGATAAGGAGGTGCAAGTGTGGTACTTGCTACGTAACCTCAGGACAAGTACCAGTGTAACTGATGAAAAGACCAGGGCTGAAAGAGTCACTTGTCTCATAACCTGGAGGATTCTCAGATTCCTAAACAAACAGCAGAACAATTCCCCGTTTCCAGATCAGAACTGAAAATTGCCATATAAGAGGGGAAATCCTTCATAGCAGATTTTCCTATTAGTTCTAAGAGAGTAAATGACAATTCTTTTTGTTCTTGATTTTTCACTTTGCCCTCTAAATACACTCTTCCTGCTCCCCACCAGGCACTAAGCTGCCCCACAGTCATGATGACTTACTTTTTGCTGTGAGCAAATCAGAATTGGTGTAGTGAGAAAACGGAATGTCATTTCTTCTGGTTCATTTAGTTGTCTGAGTTGTGATTGTTTTTCAAATAATGTGACTTTGACAAATGGATACTGTGGATTCAGAACTATAAAACCGTTTAGAAAAGACAGAAAAAAAAATCTGATCCTTTCTGAAGGAAGAGGTTAGAGCTTGTGTTCCTATTCTGCCAGTGCTTTGATGAAAAGGGAAGGAAATAGTCGGAGCAAACCAGAGCTAGAAACTGCTCATATTCTCTTAACAAGTAGTCCCCTGAATGGCTTATGACACCGAAATCACTGCATATTTTTACTGAAATAAATCATAGATGGTTATAAAGCAGTTTTCTAATGCTTTGAAAATATAAAGGTTTAGACTATTCTTACTGGCCAAAATATATTATCCTAAGTAGATGCAGTTAAGAGTTTCACTGAAACTACTTTTAGTCAAATTATTTGATACATCCACTTTTTCTTGAAATATATGGATGATATATATGAAAATTAACATTTTGAACAGAATAGAATGGTTTTATATGTTGAATAATTACAATTTGACTGAAATAGAGTGCTGAAACTTATTAACAAGGTGACTTTCCCTTTTTTCCATTCATTTAAAATAGTTTGAGGTGATCAGAACAAACTTGTCAAAAGATAAGCTTTGCCAAAAGCAGTATCTTGAAATCTTGTTTTGTATAAGCATTAAAAGTTCACCTTTTTGCCTGACACATGATGGTTTATCAGAATATTTAGCACACTATCTTAGCTAAATCTTGACATTTTCATGAGAGTGAAAATTTGTTTCTACTTTTGACAAGCTCCAATTCTCACATTATTAAAATAGCAATAACATTACCTTGCAGTAAATATTGACAGCAGCAATAGGTAAAATTTCAGTAGCTTAAATCAGATGTGTCACCAAAAAGGAAGAAGAATCTTATCCTGAATCATTATTCATTAAACCATTAAATTATTCAAGGCAAAGCTAAAAATGTCTGAAAAGAATTGCAACTTTCTACTTGTTTAACTGCTTAAATACTAAATATAGTCTGTGGTTTAAATTTATTGGAAGTCTGTATGAGAAGTTTTACCTTAATTCTTTCTCTTAGCAATTTGAGATAAAGAGAGAAGATTATTATTATTGTATTCAGCTGCCTTTGGGGTAGATGAAACCCACCGATGCAGCACTGTGGCAAAACTGACATAGCTTTTGCTTATACAGTGCATGTTCCATGGATGAAGTTACTACTCCACGGCTCTCAAAACTTGGCACCTGCATGATGATTAGCATCAGATTCAGGTGAGGGCTGAGGGGAGTGAATTCCCGCCAATATTAGGGGAAAAAAAAACCCTAAAGATTGCTATTAGAAAGTGATAAAAACACAATGTATGAATGAAAGAAGTTAAGGGGTGGAAGTAATACAAATAATGCAAAAATATTTACATAGACCTATGCAGAAGAACCAAGTCATAAACATGAAGTAAGGGATTAAAATAAAATTTATTTAGGACAGCTACTGAGAAATGCTGATTTTTTCAGAAGGCAATACTCAATGATTATTCACAGTCCCTATGGCATTTGCTCATGTCTAGAAAGAACGAATTACATCTGCATTTATTAACTCTGGAACTTTGATTTAAAAATGCTGCTCCAAAACTACATAAGAGGAAAAAAAAACAGATAAAACTAAAAGAACATTAATGTAAATCAAATTGGTATCTGTCAACTATACATCCCAGTAAACTACTGGCTAAACTGAAGTTCTGGTTTCCAGAGTTCGATAGGTATTTCACTACATATTTTTAGCTAAAAAAGGAGTAATATTCCCTTAGAATATTAACACCTTAGAGTAAAATTAAATGTATTCTGTTATATATTTAACATCAATGAAAAATCCCAATACACCTAAAGATCATCCTATAGAGATGGAAGCCTACACAAGCAAATATCAGTTAGACAAGAATCAGTCTATACTTTTACAAATATATGGAATTAGTGTCATGCTGATTAACTAGCTATCATAATACTTCAGTGATCAATATTCAAAACTTATCACATCTTGTTTTTAGGATTAGTGTGGCTTTATTCTGCATGTTGTCATCAAAGTAAAGATTGCATCTTTACCCCAAGGTGTTCATAATCTAACAGCTGCTTCTAATACTGTTTACACTGAACAGCTCTGCCATGCATAAGATGTCCCAATTTTGCAGATAACATCTTGTAAATGAGCAGAGATCAAACTGGCAAACAAGGTAATAACAGAGAAAGTGAGCCAACACTAGAGAGTGGGGAAGAAACACAATCTGTGTTAAAGCACTTTTTCCTAATTATACAGTTTGCTTCACTTCAAACTTTGTCGTAAGTGAAAACAAGGCACAGTGCATAAATAGAAAATCAACATGGAAGGGTAGTGGAGACAACTCTACCAGAGCAGATGAGCAGAAAAAGAGGACTGCTTCAGGTGTAAGGCAGAGAACAGAAAAACAAACAGTAAAGACCAGAAAAAAGAATGAGAAGAACGGGATTACAAAGGGTATAAAACAGGAAAAACCAATATTTAAGCAAAGGTCCATAAAAGTATGGCTCTGGGGTTGTGACTTTTGGTTTTATTTTGTTCTCACTTTTAAATCTGGTCTATAACAGGGTGAATTCATTAAATTAGTGGAATTAGTGATGATATACATTCAGTGTGAAGAGCACAGGATTGGGCCATCAGTTGTGAAAGAAATTTGAGGCACAAACTGAAAGGAGATAGCTGGAGTTCTTTACAGTAATATTTAGATAGTTTGCTTAAAACTGGATTAAAGGAAGTGAAGGTAAAAGATAAAGATGACAATCTTTCACAGTGAATACATAAACTGTGTTCAACACTTCTTTAGATGATGGAAATACAAAGCCTATTAACATCCCATCCGTTTCATCCTTGGACTTGACTCATTATTAACTCTGGATTTACTTCTGATTTTATACCATTAGCCTTTCAGTAATTTATTTACTATATGCAATCAGAGAGACAAATAAGATACCTTCTGGTCTGAATTTATAATTCTACTGTCTACTATTACTTGACTCATTATTAACTCTGGATTTACTTCTGATTTTATACCATTAGCCTTTCAGTAATTTATTTATTATATGTAATCAGAGAGACAAATAAGATACCTCTGGTCTGAATTTATAATTCTACTATCTACTATTTGCTGTCATATTACCTTGCCAACAAGCACCAACTGTCAGCTGCATGGCGATGTGTGAAGGGTGGATAGGCCAATCATTGGTCACAAGGTAAGGTTCGTATGTTGTTCCGTCCATGTATAACGTAACAACGGGAAACTCAACATTGACAACATAGTAATGCCATTCTTTATCACAAATCTGAAAGACAGAATGCAAGAGAAAAATATTAATTAGGACTTATTGTTAGGAGACTAATTTTTATATCACATACATTTTTTAGATTATATTGTTTCCAAACTCCACTCACAGGAAAAAAAACTAAACAGTATTGCAATTTATACATCACTAAAATTAATGAAAATCAGAACAACGTTGATAAATACTCATGGTATACTTGCAGAATATATTTGGTAAATAGAGGCATCTTAAAACACACTCTTTGAAAACAAGACATGGATAAAATCGAAAAAATCAGACAATTTGGTATTTGCTCTGTATTTTCACATTTGTTAATACATAATAATAGTTTCTTAACGTCTATATTGACTTTTGAGAATACAAAATCGTATGTGCATACTTGGGATGTATCAGCATAGTTACTGGGATCCCTATTAGCTTCAAATTAAGAAAATGTATAGCACTTAGTCACTAGATTGATGAGTTACTGTCAATGATTTGATTCAGTTGTACTTAGAAAGTCCTATGCAATGCATCAGGACCTCTACAGTGCTAGAAGGACCTCTCTTGTGCTCTGTATACTCACAAATAGACAAGTAGTCTATGTGTCTACCTGATCTGGACAGGAAACTCAAACCTTCTCCATGCTTCATCTTTTGGCCTTGAGCTTTTTCCCAGATAGTTGGTAAAATGAGGATCTTTATGGTTTCACTGATATATATCAGCTTTGAAAAGCAACTGCCACAGTTACAACATACTTCCAAGATGACAATATTAATGTCAAATCTCATATGAATTTCTGAGGTGGACAACCAAGGATTACTACAAGATGATCAAATTTGGTTATAGTTCAGAAATGTACAGCTAGATGAATTAGTGCCTCTGAAGACAGAAGCCTAGTGTGTAAAATACCAATGTCTACCCAATTCTTTTTTCCTTTGTTGTATCTTTCAGATTTAAAAGTTCAAAGGAATAAATCACAGCAAATTGGTAGGATAGGTGGGCTGTTTTTAAAAATAAAGCAATAGTTACAATCATGCTACTTTCAATTCTGTAGAGATACTTGTTTTGATGTATTAAGAAATGGAAGTGCTTGAATGCAGATATCCTTGCTGTTTCAGAGAGGCAAGCAGAAAAGTGATGTTTAAACGTAACACTTTGTCCTTGGCCAGGTTAAGTGCTATCTGCTGCAATATCTGCCCTTTGAAAGCAAAAGCTAATGTTTTGTTCCAGAAGACATTTCAACAAGAACTTAATCACTTCTGTTTCAAACGGATACATTTATTACTGCAGACATCATAGCTCCACAGCAAGAGATAAATGCAGCAAGGCGCTGCCAGAGCCTTCCTTTTGTAAGCAGGAGAGAGCACAAATGTTTTCTGAAGGTTAAATGAACTGAAACCAAAATTGAAAGTAAATAAATTGGAAGACTGAAAACGTTATTGAACAAACAGCAATCACGAATAGTATTACGCGGTCCTCCCTTTCAAGGAAAAACAGCTTGCCACGTTTCCTGACCTGATCATTAGAATCTGATGCATCACAGCTGCACGTCTCAGACATTTTATATAAAATAAAATTAATGATTTGCCTGAGTTTGAGAGACCTTGCATGACAAAAACTACAGGCAATAGTACTTGACATGTTTCAGAGAACTGTTCCAGAGTATTTCTGTTATGCAACCCTAAACTGCATCACTTAGGATGCCCCAAGTGCTATTAAATGAGTGAGCAATCCTCCTCGTATTTAAGCAAAGCAAGAGTACTTTATTATAGCAAACCCAAACATTTTGAGATGTCATATAGACAAAGAGCATGGAAATGTGTAGCTAGTCTGATTACTCTATTGCCTGACCAATAGGGCAGTTACATTTTCAAAGAAAATGCTTTCTGGAAACACAAGGTTACATAAATTCCACAATTCCAGACTCCAGCAACTGGGTTCCAGTTCTTCCAAGAAAAATGCAGATGCCCAGCTGCAGATGTCCACACTAGACAAAGTATTTATTAACCTTTAATTTCTCTGATACATTCTGGAACATAACATAGTGCAAGTGTAGACTTCTTGGTGAAGTCCTCAAACCATCACTTGCATGCTTTTCCTTAAATTTCAACACATAAACACATCAAGTTTTATTTTAAAGGGAATTTAGGCACTTCAAGTTTCAGCTTGATGTTTCCTGAGATTTCAAAAGCACCCAAGTTGGTCAGGTGCTTAACTGTCATATGATTTCAATACAGCTTAGGTACAGACATATGTATATTCCACCAAAAGCATCCATCTGGCTCCCAGTGTAAAAACAAATATTCTACAAGGAAGTAATATCATTATTTAAAAACTCTGGATTACATCCCAGTCACTCAGCAGCAGGTAGTATTTCATGCCTGGCCATTTCACAGGAAACAAAATAATGAAATAAATAATTGTGGAGTGTAATTGGTTACGCTATCATTTCAGACACTTTCTTCACCTTCTTAACACAGGAAGCCAATTTTTTCCCTCCATGCATTCCACAGTGGCAATGGAATGTAATATGATTGCAGTGAAGCCATGAAAAAAAACTTATAAAATATACTAGTTTGGCAAATAAAGACATTTTCATCATCTCAAGTAAGAACTGTATTTTAAAAAAATCTAATTTACAAAGCTATCCTAATGAGATAAAATTACAGATGAGTAAGCTTGGCTTTCAAAGATTGCTGGATAGCTAGGTTGGTCTAATCACTCTATCATGTCAGTCTGTCTCTAAAATGCATAAATCAAATCACAGTGAATTAACCACCTTGAAGTCTTAGTGCTGATTACAAGCCATTGCATTGGAATATGCTTTCATAAAATAGATGAAAATAGACTCAGTGTAAGTCTTCTGAAGTAAGTTACCCAAGATATTAAAGCTCTTAGCATCTTCTGATGAAGAATGTCAGAGATTTTTCTGTTTTATATTGGAATGCTTAAGTATGAACTGAAACCAAAGTACTTTGGTTTGAGTAGCACAAGGTGTTTAGAAACACACTTTGTTGGTCTGCAAAATGCCTCTTTTTATGGCTTTGTACATAAGGGCTAGGCGTGCACACATGAGAACATGCACTTTACAGCGTCCAGCCTTCTCAGCCTCATTTAGATCAGCCGGGGCATACTCATGCAAGATGGATCATTCACCCGTTTGGCTAGATACACAAAGAGAACTTGCACTTCGAGAAGTGTCCCAGTGCCTCAGTTCAATACTGAAGAGCCACACACACCTGCAACCCTCTGACTAGCTTCCTGAAAGTCCCTTAAGTAATGTTCAGCAGACCACTGCGTTTGACCAGGCAAACAGCCCTGCACATCCTGCCAGTGCTACTCAGTGCATACTTTGAGTCTATCCGTCTAGAGCTGAGAAACCAGATATTCCATCTTTCTAATTTCTGTGACTTTGCTGAGAAAGTGTTGTCAGAATACACTCAAACATCCACAGAAAAGCAGTAAGAAGAAAAGGAAAGCAAGGAAAACTCTCTACTTACTAATAAATGGCACTGCTTAGCACAGGTATGAGATACAAACTGCTTCTTTCTGCCTAAGTTGTCTGAACCATTACTTTCTATAGGTTGTTTGAAGAAAGCACCTTAATCCAGCTGTAAAAATCAGGGCATGCCACTTTATTCACTTCTTGATGCCTTTTGTAGTGTCTTAACATGCTCTGAGCCTCTCAACACCACCCCCTCCACCTTTACTAAGCATTCCTTAGACCACATCTAAAGTACTGTGCCTAGTTTCACACCCCAGGAAATACTTTGATAAACTGGAGTGAATTCAATGGAGGGCAACAAAATAGCCAGCTCTCGCCATGTGAGGAGAAGCTGAGGGAACTGGTCTTGTTTAGCCTGGAGTGGGGCAGCGTTAGGGGGACGGTAACAGCAGCCTTCCAGTGCCTAGGGAGAAGGTACCAGGAAGACAGCAACAGGCTTTTCAAAGAGGTGCATGCTGTGACAAAGAGACAATGGACCCAAATCGAAAAAAGACAAGTTCAGACTAGATGTAAAGTAAGCCTTCATTTCACCATGTGGATAGTCAAGCGGTAGAGCAGGCTGCCCAGAAAGGTTGTGTCCCCATCCTTGGAGATTTTTCAAGACCTGTCTGGATAAAGGCCTGAGCAACTTGGCCCAAGTTCATAGCTGCCCCTGCTTTGAGGAGGAGGTTGGCCCAGAGACCTCCTGAGGTCTCTTCCCAGCTAAATTACAATTCTGATTTCATAAACATGACTGTACTGAAGGTGATAGAAGGGAAACAGTGTCACTCTAATGTAGCATTTTTCTTAAAGATGGGAGATGTTCAAATCTGCTTAGCCACGAGAATTACAATTCAGGTTTGCTATCTTAAAGGTGACTGCTGTAACCACCAGGATATGAAGTACAGCAGCAACACTACCACCATCTTCCTCTGGCTATATTTTGAAAAAGAAAGATCAACCCCTCCAAAGTTCTTGAAAGGTGCTTAAGATGTCTCCATGCTCTGATGTGTGATGACTTTCTTCCATAGACAACTCCTACCATGACATATTTGGGGCAGGTTATGTACATTATTTCTACATGCACATTCCACCATGTTTTGAAAAACTGGATGTCATTTGTCATTGATGCTGGCAACACGGACGTTTATGAATCAGATCCTCTTTAAAGGATGACAAATGTATAAGGCTTTATTTTAAGTTTGCACTCCTTTCACATAAAGATTAGAAGGTGTTCTACATTTATACCAGCTTTGATGAGAAGTAAAAGTCTAGCGAGTCTAGGGAATAAAATCTGTGCATTCATTTCAGAACCACAACTCCTGGCTACTCCAGTGGACTGCACAAATTGCACACATTCTAGTATGGAAGCGTTTGTAACTAAGTAACATGAATACAAGTCCTTTTCCAAACTAGCTTCATGCTTTTGGAAAAGCTGCACCTTGGTGGAGGCAGAACAAATTCTGGCTAAGCAAGGCCTCTTTGAAAACTTGCTGTTTTCAGACATTGTTGCTTCCTTTTTTCCGCTCTTGCT